CCCCCCTTCTAGTCTCTCTAGAGGTTCTCTTCTGGTTCCTGGTTCTCTCTTCTCAAAAGAATCTCAATTCCCTCCAAAATTCAAAAGTCAAAACTTTGAATTTCAAAAGATGCGTCTCCTTGATCCAAGAGTCAAATCCTTTCAAATTAGAACCTTCCAAAGTGTCCACATGCATTGATTCACTTCATGAGGTGCTTAGAACAAGTGTCCATTTGAAAATTCATGCAAAATTCGTCTCGAACAACCTTAATTTGAAAAAGTCGCGTCTGGCGTAGCATGCGCCAAACCCCAAAATTGGATGGTTTTGCTCCAAATTTTGTTTTTTTTTGTCATTTTTGCTCTAAATATCTAAAAATGAAATACCTGCAACAAAAACACAAAAATACCCTTCTTTAAAGTTAATATCACCAAAAAAATAAACATAAAAAGGGTATTTAAAATAGTATATTTTATTTGTGGATCAAGTCCCGTCAAAATGAGCTTTCCCCCCTTTTCTTTGCTTTATCGAGACCCAGGCTTCCTCTCCCATGTTTCTACACTCTGACCATTTTTTTGCTTCATACATTTTGAGAAAACATCTTCTTGCAAGAAAGGGGGAATGAGGGGCTTGATATGATCTCCCCTGATTTGCTTTGACTCCTTTCCATAAGCATTCTTGGGAACCATGCAAAAGTTTCTCATAATGGTCCCCTCCATCTAAGCTCAAACAGTGTGACTCAACAATTTTTTGTGAAGAAAAAATGATGGGGCCCTTAAGTGCCAAAATGGTCGCAAGAGTGCCCACCCTTGAATCTCTAGCATTTCTTCACTGTGCACAAATATGACTACAATGGTGTAGCAGCGGAGGGCTCTCAGTTTGGCGAAAGATAGAGTACAAGGAACAGGGCGCTCAAGCGCCCAACAGTGGTGCCTAAGCGCCTATAGGCAAAAATGCAATCAAGTCATCACTACACGAGGGGTGGGCACAAAAGTTCCCATAGGTAAGGTATCACATCTTAGGAGGCACTAAATTAATATATGGGTGCTTTTGCGCCCATTTTTGGCATGTTTGCTCCCTAGCCCCAAGAGACTTGGCTCCTTTGCCTACCATGTGGGCGCAACTTCCCATGAATGGTGTTCTATGGGTCATTGGAATACCAAAGACTTTACAAGAGTGAAAATGGGTTCTCCATGGTTGAGGAGGACACCGAGATTGCACCGTATCAGGCAAAAGTCACTGCCTGAAGCCACGTACTGCCCGAACGGTCTAAAACACAATTTTACTCCCTGTTGTTCGTGGGATTTCAGTTGATCTGGAAGTTATAGTAACCATGAATTGTTAAAATATGACCCTATAGATAAAAAATAAATATTTAGGATGTGTTAGATTTGGGATTTTGATGCCAACAGACGTCCCAGACCCCACGCGGGTAGATTGGTCTGAATTCTAGCTTTTTCCAAAATGTGCATAAGAGAGTTTGATGACTTCCCTTGGACACCAAAAGCTTTGAATTGGCTAGTTATGTTCTATAAGGAATCATAGTGGACAAATCATTGTTGCTTCAGGAAACACTTCAATAGTTATTATACCTTGCTCCCTTTATATGTGGATGATATGCCGATTGTAGGGGTGTACATGGAAAAATTAGAGAATTAAAGGGGTAATTATCAAGTGAGCTTGAGATGCAGGATTAAATCCAACAAAAAAAATCCACTGGATGAGAATAAGTAGGGACACGAGTGCAAGTACATTGTAGTTGTCTCAGGCAGAGTAAGTTGGGAAGATCACACATAGGTTTGACATGAGTGGGACAAAGCTACTTTTCACCCACTTAGGTAGTCGCTTCAAGCTATCTAAGGAGCTATCACTTGAGTTCGAACCAGAGCAAGCACAAATGGAAAGAACTTTATATGTTTCAATGGTTGGAAGTCTGATCTATGCTATGATTTGTACTATACTAGATATTGCATTTCTTGAAGGAGTTGTTAGCAGTTACATGAGAGATCCAGCTAGACATCATTAAGAGACTATGAAGTCGATTCTTAGATATTTGAGAGGAATAGTAAACATGACACTTTGCCATGGAAGTGGAGTGATCCATCTACAGGGATTTGCATATTTAGTTTTGGTAGGATATTTGGATGGCATAAAAGTACAACAAGACATATCTTCGCTTTGGGGAACATGACGATGAGTTGAGTTTTCAGGTTGTAGAAGATTATTGTACTTTCAAATAAGGAGGCTGAATATATTGTTATCAATGAGGTTAGCAAGGAGATGATTTGGCTACAGACTTTATTGTATAATTGGGCAAAAAATAGGGAATTGAAAAGCTTAATAGTAACAGTATGAGTACAATTCATCTTGTTAGGAATATTGCTTTTCATGTCAGGAAAAAACACATTCAGCTAATATATCACTTTTTATGCTTTTCTAGAAAAGATTAGCAGCTATTCCTAAAGAAGATAAACATAGCTCAAAATTCTGCATATATGTTAACAAATGTGATAATTGTCAATAAATTTAAAGCTATGCTTAGCTTTAGTTGGAGTCTATGAAGTTTGAGATATGGGTTGAGCCCCACAGTATGTGACTATGAATATGATACAGATAGAGGCACGAATTTGGTGAATAGGTGTTGGGTGCTTTTATTCTCTAAGTGAGAGAGTGTTGAGGTGTGGAGCTTGGAAGAACACCCACAATAACAAGGAAGCAGACCAATCATTAGGAAGCTATCTAGCGCAGTGCACCTGCGTCTAGACGGCTTGCTCATGCCCGCATTGTTTATCGGGAACCTATGCTTCCAGTTATAGAGGATGGGACATTCTCATGCTAAAGTGGCGTGGATGTACCATGTGTTACTCTTCTGTTTCAGTTTAAATCCTCTATTCTAGTGATGAAGCAACAGATTCTCGCAAGTGTGGCTTTTGACAAAAAGTCTCGTAAATAAGATAAGTGTCGGAGGAAGATTTCAACTTTTTTTTCTCTCGTGAGATCGAGAGGGAGGGTTTGAAATAAAGTCCTATTATTTCCAATGATTTTAGAGAGGAGATCTGAATGAATATTCTATACTTTTCTAAACTTCATAGTGAAAATTTTTTGGTGTCATAAATCCATGATTTTTTTCTCGTTGAATTTTAAATCATAGTATTTTTTTTTTTTGGATTTTTTTTGTTATGCTTTCATTCGAATATTATGTTTCAATTTTCTCAAATCAATTCAATCCTATCCGCACTGTTGTTTTGATTTTGAATTAGATCGAAATCCTAACAGAAGCGTAAAGTTCCATCCCAACATCCATAAGCTCCCCTTTTTCTCTCATTGCAAGTGCTGAAATTAAAACCTTACCCTGAAGACATATTACCAAAGCATCTAAATCATTTCTAAACTAATTGTAAAAACAAAAACTTATGTAATCTAATTATAACTCATAAAATATACAAACAAAAAAATATCTTCCCCTCATAACAGTACTTAAATCTTAAATTAAATTTAGTTACAATATCCTGCCGGATTACTTTCCTCCTGAACCATCAAAGCATTCAGACTATGTCCTCTACTTCCACAACAGTTGCCCGCAGACAAATCACTCAAGTTAGCTGCACAGGTACCATGTTTAGACATCCATGGCCCATTTAGCTTATTATTTGTAAAGCCAGCTCGCCCCTAATGGAGCTTTTGAAGCGAGTTCCCGGAAAATAGACATTTACATAAATACAACCCAATTCCTACGTTTTTTACATAAAAACACCTACTTTTCTAATATTTTACATTTATACTGCTTATATCTTTCATATTACATAAAATATATCACTATTTTAAAATTTAAAAATGAGTTATATATGTATATATATATATATATATAC